TAAACCCGTAAACCCCCAACCCTAAACCCTAAACCCTAAACCCCCAAACCCTAAACCCTAAACCCTAAACCCCAAACCCTAAACCCTAAACCCTAAACCCCAAACCCTAAACCTGCAGCTCCCGGCCGAGGGTGCCGGCGCTGGCGCCTCGGCCATCGGCTTCGCCGCGGCAGGCGGTGCAGCGAGGTCCTCAAGGGTTGAAGTCGAGGCAGTGCTCGGGTTTAGGGTTTAGGGTTTAGGGTTTAGGATTTAGGGTTTAGGGTTTAGGGTTTAGGATTTAGGGTTTAGGGTTTAGGGGTATGGGTCGCTGTTGCCGGGTAAGCTTTCTGGGAGTCAATTGCCGTCTTCGCTAATGTGTTCCAGTCGGGATTCTTGTTATCTGCCGCTGTTCTGGTCACGGGTCACCCATGGTCGCTCTTCAATGTCTGCTGACAGACTATCCAATCTGGATATTGAACGTGAGACCGGCCGGGATGCCGATCGACATGCACATCAACATATGACAGATTCCGAGCCAAGACCACAGCCTTGTCAAGCCAACAAGAAGGGAAATGCAACAGCAGCAGCACCAGCAGCAGGAGCAGGAGCAGGAGCAGGAGCAGGAGCAGGAGCAGGAGCAGGAGCAGGAGCAGGAGCAGGAGCAGGAGCAGGAGCAGGAGCAGGAGCAGGACTGGGCTAAGACTAGGACTTGCAGGAGCAGCCGAGCAAGAGCAGGAGCAGCAGGAGCAGCAGGAGCAGCAGGAGCAGAAGGAGCAGGAGCAGCAGAAGCAGCAGAAGGAGCAGGGGCAGCAGAAACAGCAGGAGCAGGAGCAGCAGCCGCAGGAGCAGAAGGAGTAGGAGCAGCGGGAGCAGCAGCAGGAGGAGGAGCAGGAGGAGCAGGAGCAGGACAGGGACTAGGGCAGGAGCAGGAACAGCAGGAAGTAGCAGGAGCAGGAGCAGGAGCAGGAGCAGTGGTAGTGGTAGTGGTAGTGGTAGTGCTAGTGCTAGTGGTAGTGGTAGTGGTAGGGGTAGGGGTAGGGGCAGGGGCAGGGGTAGCGGTAGTGGTAGTGGTAGTAGTAGTCGTCGTCGTCGGAGGTAGTAGTAGTAGTAGTAGTAGTAGTAGTAGTAGTCGTCGTAGTAGTAGTCGTCGTAGTAGTAGCAGTAGGCTTCACGATACGATCAATTCTCACTGCCAGTCCCTCACAAGAAACGGGGGCCCCACTTGGGATCCTGAACCGTAAGCTTCAAGCGATTCCTCTCAATACTATGCACGCTGTACGACCTACACCATAGCCCATCCCCTTTGAAGACTATAAGCAACTGCACATGCTCATGCGACCTGCTAAAGGAAGCAGTTCCACCCCTGATTCCTGGTAAAGTCTAGATTGACCCACGGTGAGAGCGGGTCCAGCAAGTCGTAAGATCCGTAGCCATCCCAGCTGAAATCTGCATTCGTCACCGACTGGCTCGGGCCCTCCAGCATTTCACGGGATGATTTATGGATTGAAGCGGAAGGGTTTAGTAAGGTTCTGATTTAGGGGTCGGGGATTTAGAGTTTGAGTTTGCAAAGATGCCATCACGAAACTGGAACTCGGACGGCACATGTTGAACAGCATTAGCACTGAGCTGCAGCACCTTCCGGCAAAGGACTTGAGGCTTCAGACACACGCACATGCCAGAAGTTCGCTGAAGGCAAGCGATTTGAGGGTCTCTGCAGGCCAGCACACAGCAGTTCACAAGGTTTAACCACTGTTCGAGCAGAACAGGTCCTCTCTGTGCCGCCGGGGAGGGCAAATTTCCCCATGTCGTCCAGGCGGGTCGGGCACGGCTTGGCTTTGGGGTTGGAGGGCCAGTTGAGACAAGACTGGGTTTAGGGTCTCAAACGTTTAGAATTTTTCAGGGTTCCGGATATACGACAGCCCCGGCCTCTTTGTCTGGCGGGTGCAATGAACTCCAGGCTGAAATACGAAAAAAAGTCCTCGCGTCTCGCAGCAACAGCTTTGGGTATCGGAAAGGTCTTAGAGTCGAACATCGTGGCCCAGACGGCTCCTCTTCATTGACTGCAGGTGCCGCTTTTCTGCACCTGGCTCAATGAGGCGGTCCACGGACACCCCATATTCCACTAACCCTGAACCCTCGAACCCAAAATCCCTTGACCAAAAGCCAGTAAACCCCGAACCCCAACGACCCTACACCACTAGACCCTTCAATATAATAGTACTTAGATTTAACCCTAAGCTCTAAACCCAAAACTCAAAACCCGTATACGGCCTAAACTAAACCCCAAGCCCTAAGCCCCCCCGCGGCCTGCTTCTCGCAGCGCATAGACGCTGAAGTACACAGGAGGCCGGCCGCACAGCCTCCCCAGCAAGGCTCATCCAGTTTGATAATCATAGCGATAACACGACTATGCATAGCGTGTGTATATCTATATATATATATACACATATATATATATATATATCAGAGAGTAATAACAGTTGCGTACAGAGAGCGAGTAGGTTTCACAGAACCGACACAGTGCCGCACGACGGCAGTCACGTCTTCGCTTGCAGGGTGGGAAATGCGAAAACGTAAAGTGGAACAACCACCCTAAACCCTAAACCCTAAACCCTAAACCCTAAACCCTAAACCCTAAACCCTAAACCCCCTAAACAAGAAGGCAGGGTTAGGGCTCGGGTTAACTTCAGCCCCAAGCCTGCTTCCAGGCTTCGGGCCTGGGTTAACTGAGTCAAACGGTTTAGAGTTTAGGGTTTAGGGTTTAGGGTTTAGGGTTTAGGGTTTAGGAATGATGCCCGAGCTCATAAATCTTAAAACTTGAACTGCTGGAGCCCTAAAGCCCCAAGGTGGGCTTGAACCCTAAACCATCAACCCTAAACCATAAACCCTAAACCCTAAACCCTAAACCCTAAACCCTAAACCCTAAACCCTAAACCCTAAGAGACTTGCGAGGGCCTGTCGAAGTCCATGGTCACTCCAGGCAAGATCCCTCCGGTGACCTCCCAACCTTTGGTCAAAAAGAAGCTTCGGCTTGAGCTGCGGCCATTGAAAGCGCAAAGCAAGACCGCAGATGGGAAGCTTAGTAGTACCATTATCTTATAAACTTTTGCGGCTGTTTACTTATTAGTACTATTCTTCTAATGGCCACTATCATTATGAGTGTCTTCGCTTCTCCTCCCGTTTCCTCTCGTCTCGCCCCCTGCCAGAACCATGCATTCCCGTCGCGCGTGAATATGCAAGGCTGGATACACATTGCTCTCACACATTCCCGTTCCACACTGCGAAATAGCACGCAGGCAACATGGTTTAGCGCCGGAACGTCCACTTACAAGCGCACCTGCAAACAGACAAAACGGAAACATGATACACGTGTGTGCGCGTGTTCAATAAGCACGGTCCGTTTGCATCGTGCCTTTTGCTCCGTGCAAACGTCCATAAATCCGCCTACATCCATTGCGTCTATGTGTATGTATGTATACACATATGTATACATACACACATATCTGCCACTCTCTGTGTGCGTATGCTTATGTATATATATGTATACATACATACATACATACATACATACATACATACATGCATCCGAATCGCACCATATCAAAATGAAAATCACGCACGGCGATTCCGATCGCAGCCATGCCATCACCACTGTTGGGATGCTCCCGACCAAGAGCTGCAGCCCACAGTTGGAACAGAGATTCCAAGGCTCTGCAAATCCGGTGGATCAAAAAGTGCACATCTAGAGATGTGTACACCTAAGTATGTATGATGCCTGCAAGTATACTCCGTGTGCGTGTGTGAGAGCGTGCGTTTCTGTGTCAGGTTCGGGTGCGTGTGTGCCGACATGTGTACGCATGTATATTGGTGTGCGAAAATGCTAAGATCTTTCTATGCATTTCTGATTACTCTATTGGGCCGACATACATACATATTGCATGCATACATACATACATGAGTATGTATGTGTATACCATAAACTCTCTATGTGTATATACATATACATTAATACATGTACATGTACGTCATGCAAAAAGACACCCCGAAATAAATGCCAAAGTACAAACTACACAACTTGAAGTACTGCTCGGCGCACGTCTCGTGCTACGCATGAATCACAAGAGGCAAGATGAGTTGGAACAGACACTTCAGCATGCAATAATTTGCATGTTGTGTGTGTGTGTGTGTCTTTGACCGGCATCTTTGA